TACGAAGTTTAAATAGCCAATCTGAAAAGGCTAAATACTGTATGATTCCAACTGTTTCACATACTAGAAAAGGTAGAACTATGGGGATGGTAAAATGATTAGAATTGCCAGGGTTTGGGGCAGCAAGAGAGAATAGATGGAGCAAGGAAAGTACTTCTTGTATAATAAAACTTCTCTGTATGATTCGATCCTTGTGATTATATATTTGTCAAAAGCATGAAGGTACAACACCAAGAATGAACACTAATGTGAACTATAGACCAATGGTGGCAAACCTCCTGGGTGTTTATCATCATTGAAAGCTCTAAAAAACTTGCCATGACTGCTGCGGACCCTTAGTAATAATTATATATCAATGTAGGTTCATCATTTGTAGCAAGTATGCCACTCTGTTGAGGGATGTTAGTAATGAGAAAGGCTATTTGGGGAGGGCATAGAATGTATGGAAATACCTGTACCTTTCAAGCTTTGCTATGAATGAAAGTTCTCTAAAAGTCTGACAAGAAAAAACCCTTGTTGGATAGGGTCAAGAGAAGAATGGAGACTACAGTGGGAAGATTCAGTGAATTTTGGATGTAGAACAATAGAAATTCCAATGTGAATGACATAGAAAATATGAAAAGTGAACAGAATCCCAGAAAGTTGTGAAATAATTAGAAAATGATCTTATGCCTTTGTTATTAAGTGCCAAGAGGAAAAGAGAAAGTGGGGCTGAAAATTTTTTTGAAGAAATACTGACTAGAAATCCCCAAATCTGTCAGAAGTTCATTATACCTAACATCTCAGAAAGTAAGTGACAGAAAAGAGGTAATTCTCTCAATATTTGGAAAAATAATGCATTTCTAAATATTCATGGGACTTTAATGGAAGTAAATACATGAACCAAATGAAATTGAAAATATTAGCAAAGGAAAATTGATGAACTGAAAAAGGTTGTTTGTGGCAGGGAAATAAATCAGTAAAAGTGATGAGCCTCTAGCAAGACTGACAAAGAAAAAATACAGGCTACAGATTTCTAGTATCAAGAGTGAAGTGTGTGATCACTACTTCCAGTCCCTCTTTTTTAAAACAAGAGCATTGCTGTGTTGACCAGGTTGGCCTTCCATTCCTAGGATTAAATAGTCCTCCTGCCTCAATTTGCCAGGCTAGGACAACTGGCACACACTACCATGGCTGGCCTTTTTTTTTTTCCACCATTCTTCCTCAACAATGCTGGAAGCTTTAATGAGCAGAAAAAGTCAAGGAAAGGAATGAACAGACTAGAAGAATTAAAATTGTCCCTATTTATTGATGTGTGTACCTACAGAATCCCAAGGAATCTGCAAGAAAGGTTTGGAGGAGACCTTTAAGCAAGTTTACCAAGATCACTGGATATAAGATCCAAATAGCACAAGGTCCTGAGTTTGATACCAGAAAAAAAAAACCCAAATAAAAAATTTGATATACTAGTAAAGAATACATAGAAATCAAAATGGAAGGCAATATTTATAATACTCAAAAATAAAATACTTTATGTGTAAATTTAACAAAACATGAACTTCATGCTTTAAACTTTATTATAAAATATGAAGAAAAGGGAAATTTCAATAAATGGAAAGATATACTGTGTTCGTGGATTCAAAAACAACAGAATAAAGGTTTGAGTTCACAAATTTATTTGTAGTTTTAATTGACATTCTTATCAAAATTCCCCTGTCTTGAAACTATACAAGCTCATTCTACATTAACTTAAGAGAAGTGAGAATAGCTAGAAGTTTTAAACAGAATTATGTGGAATTATTCTGTGAAATCTTATTGTTTAGCTACATTAATTAAGACCTGTGATACTGACAGAGGGATAGACTGATAGTCAGTGGTACAGATAGAGATTCCAGATACAGAGGCATGCAAATATGCTGAATTTATTTTCTTTCATTTTATTTCAACAAAGATACATTCAGTTCAGAAAAGATAATCTAGAAATTTTTGCTAGAGCATTTGGACATCAAAAAAAAAAAAAGAAACATTTCACCTTAACCTGACACAAAAGTAATCTGAACTAACTCCTGGGTTTAAATGTGAGAATACAAAACACTACAGAATATCTTCAGGATCTTGGCCTAGGTGAAGAGTCCTTAGGCACCAAAAGCAGTCTATAAAAAAAAAATGAATTGTTTTTGTCAAAACTAGAAAGTTTTGCTCTGTGGAAAACCTTGGTGGGAAGGTGGAAATACAAGTCAAAAATGGCACAAAATACTTGGATGGAAATCTAGTATCTGACAAAGAACTCAAGACATAAAAATTACTTTGAAAAATCATTAGGAAAAAATTTCAGTTAGAAAACAGGAAAAAGATATAGATGACAAGTAAAAAGATGTTCAGCATCATATCCATTAAGGAAGTGCATATGAAAGCCACAAATTGTAACTACTCAGTTAGAACAGCTAAAAAAACGAAAGTATGACAGTGCTAAATGCTGGTGAAAGAGAAACCAAATCATTCATAAATTGTTAGCAGGAACATTGAAATAGCACCGCCACCATACAAAATTTGGTGCAAATTTTGGTAGTTTCTTAAAGACAACCTGCATGTACCACATGATCCAGCAGTCCTAGTTTTTGGCATTTATCCTTGAGAAATGAAAAGTTATGTGTACACAAAAACCTATACATGAAGAGTCATTTCAGTTTTAGTTTTATAATAGCCAAAACTTGACAACTGCCCAAATTTCAAATGAGTAAATTATTAAATGATTGTACATTGAAAGCATAGAATATTACATAATAAAAAGAAATGATTTGATAAACACAACTTGGTTGAATCTTAGGGGCATTGTATGCTGAGTAAATATAAGCCTCCACAGGTTGCATACTACAAAATCACATTTATGAAACATTTGTGAAATGTCATTAGTAATTACTAATTAGATTAGCAATTTCCAGGATTTAGGGAAGGGGTGCTGTTAGTGTGAATGTGAGAGAGTGAGTGTGTGTATGAGTAATGCAAAGGAGATCTTGGTGGTTATCAAATAGTTTTGTATCCTGTAGTAGCTGTTATATGATTCTGCACACATGATAAAATTGCATAGCATATTACACATAGAAATAAGTGCATGTGAGATTGGAAAAAAGGTCTATGGATTGTAATGATGTTATTTTCCTTGTTTTGATGCTGTATTATAGTCATGTAAGAAGTTTCCACTGAGGGAACAGGAGCACTTTGTTCTGTTTTTGCAACTTCCTGTAAATCTTTTTATTTCAAAATAGAGAAAAACACGTTCATCCACAAAAGCATGTTATAAAATTATATCAAAATTTATAACAGTTCTTATAAATATTAAAATAAAAATTTTGTTTGAGTCAATAGATTTGAAAATGGGAAGATGAGTTCTTTTTGAAAATCAGCTATTTGTAATATTTTATATTGTATTTGCCATTGTTTTAACTTTTTTGGCTGAATTAATCATTGAATATTAAGTCTGTTAATTAGATCTATATATATGGAAATTGCTTTGCACCTTCTGTATAGTCATTCTTCATTATTTGAGGATTCTGTGAGTTCTCCTTAATAAAATTCTCATTCAATGATCAGCAGTGCTTTTTAATTTGTAAGCCCAAAATCTATACTCATCATTGCTTTAATAGACAGGTGGAAAGTGGCCAAAATTTTTTTAGTTCCCCAGTGCACATGGTCCTTGCCAAGGTCAAATGAGGTGATATTCTGCTGCCTTGTTACAGCTCTTATATTGCAACAAGTGCCCCTTCTGTAGTCTTGGTGTTTCATTCTGTTTTGTTTTTCATTTTGATTAATGGTTTCATCATTTAAAATATCTCCCAAAAGTGAAGTGAATCCTAATGTTCCTAAGCTCAGGAACATAACATGTTTTAGGTAAGCTTTTCTGAGTTTGAGTTCAATATTAATGTATCAGTAATGTGATACATCCAGAAGAAAGGAGAAAGAAGTTTTACAGTTACTACATTAGGCCTCACTCAAAAGTGCTAAGGTAATGTCTCTTGTGCCTGGTGAAGTTATGGAAAAGCAGCTAAATGACAGCTTATAAGGATTCTTGTGAAGCTAAAAGCAGACAGAACTTAAGGTCACATTACCCAGATTTAGGAAAATGTTTGACCCATTGGGCTAGTGCTGGCTCATTCATACATTCCAAAAGGTGGTATAACATAAAAAGAAATGTTGAACTTAGAGGCAAGTAAGTTCCTCAGATCAGGAAGTTCAGAAATAATTTTTTTAAATGCCTGTCAAATGTTATATAGGAAAAAGGCGTATATGGAAGAGCAAGCTTTCAACACTAAAGACACTGGTTTGTTTCACAAGAATGCTGACAGAGGAAACTATGTTAGTTACCCAAATAGCATTTCCACTGTCAAAAATTGACCATATACTTGCAGGAACCCAACCCTTTCTGTAAGAACAGTAGTGCAGCATCCACTAATTCAGTGTTTGTGACAAGAATCAACTGCATTTTCTTCCGGATTTCTTGGGTTCCTCTTCCTTAAGATTTTTTTAGTCTTTTATGTGTCTGTTTAATATAGCCTAAAACATAGGTCATTGTCCGGAGAAGGTCTCTTTCTTCTTACTCGTGCTGCTGTATCAGTCAACAGCTTATAAAGATGTCCTGATACCTGTGCACGTCAAAATAACTGAGTAGTTTTCTGGTACAGGTGTTGCTTTTTCTTTACTTGGAAAATACTAAGAAATATTCATGTGCTAACAGTAGTACCGGGTGTATAATGATGTATATTGTAGAGTCATTGTACAACTTAAGTTGAAAATGAGTAACCTGAATTCTAGGACTGTGCTATATCTGTAAATGTCAGCTTCTGAAAACTCCAGGAGGTAAATGGAGAAAACAAGGTTAATGTTTTCATTTATGTCAAGTATCAGAGATCCACTTTATTATGGTAGAAACTGAAATGTAGGTTGTTAGCTTGTACCGTTGTGATATGGGCAACTGTGACCACTTTAAACACAATTAACTACTTTCCCTTTTGCTTTTTCTTTAGTTTACTCATCACCTTGTGGCACCAATACTAGAGAATATAGTTTCATACATGAGACTCTTAACCAGTGTAGGCTTGATGTAAGCTGTGATCTCCAGTCATCATCATGGCAGTTTGGGGATACAAAACTGGTTCACAATGAGGAGCTGGAAAAAAATTTTACTGCTAAAAGGTAAGTTACTATGACCTAAACAAGAAGAGATTTTGTTTTGTTTTCATTATGAAGCCTTATGCTAATTTATTTCTACTTGTGTATTACTAAGAAAGTAAGTACAAAGGTTATTTAATAAGCATTATAAGAAAGTAGATTCTTTTGTTAACTTTTACAGCCTTTTATAATATTGAAAAGATGAGTATGATACTTGATTGGTTATATGAATTAATGTAATCAGGTTTCAGATATCCTCTTCTGATTTTCTGATCTTGTAAGTTTTTCAGAGGCACGTTTATTAAATAACAATTTTGTAGATCCTGTGTATCTCCTGGATAAGGTAAAGCAGCAGTTCACATAATCAGAAAGTAACTTTTTTCTGTGGTCCCAACTCTTAAACTGATTTTATCTTTTAATTTGTGGGGATTATATCTAGCTGTTTCCACCTGTTCCAATAGAACATGCTTTCTGGGTTGACACTATTATTCCTGACAACTTTTTAAAAATACCCCTTTAGCTTTTGTCGAAATATTTATTTCATAATTGTTATTTTTATAAGAAAAAATAAAAGCATACAAAAAGTTCTTTTTGTAAGCATTTTGTATCCTTATAGTATACATTTTGTGTGAGAAAAATTTAAATTAGCATTTTCATTTTATAAATTTATTATCTTTACTATTTTGCATTTTCATATTTAACACCTAAGTATAGCTTTATAAACCCATGGAACTTGTTTGGGTTTTTATTTTGTTTTAGAATCAATTCTTCTGAACTCAAATATGCTGTCTCTATGGTAGAAGTTTGGAGATTTGAAATTGGTGAAAATGACAAAATTAGTTGGGCATATTCTCTTTCCTCTAAAAACTACACTTTTCATAATAGTAGAAAGGATAGTATATATCCTGACAGTTTGGCATTGAAGGAACAGTTTAATTTAAGATGAATTTTTGGCATTATTATTGACTTTGGTTCTGTTAGCCATTTGTAATTTTGTTCTTTTGGTTACTTGCACTGGTTAGTGTTAGAAAAATTTAAACAACTACTAAATAATATAGAGCATGTTAGAATTCTAAATGACTCAAGTGGGAGTGAGATGGGTTGGGGAAAGGAAAGAAAGGAATGGAATTAATATGAAAAAGTGAAAAAATAGGGCCAGGGATTTAGCTCAGTGGTTCTGCTGCCTGCCTTATAAGCACAAGGTTCTGAGTTCAATCCCTGGTACCCACCCAAAAAAAATGAAAAAATGGAAATAAGTCTTGTGAACAGGGAGAGCTGGAGCGGTTAAAAGGGAAACAGGGAAATGGGGAAAAAATAAGAACCAAGAAAGATTATATAAAGGTACACATTTCCAATGATGAATGTCATTATATTGTATACCTAAAATGTACCACTAAACTTAATTTAAAAAATTCTAAATGACTCAGTAGTTACAGGATTTATTATTTTCATAAGTACTAGCTCAGTTACACAAATTTCATTTCTTTCCCATAGTACTTTATAGGACTCATTGGTGTGGTTTTTCATAGCCCTACTGTGCTATGAATTTTGTTTTGTGTTAATAGTATAAAACTGAATCTTGCAGTATACAGGGTGTTTAAATGTCAAGGTATACTTTAATCTCTTTTTTAGTGTTCGAGTGTATTTTTTATACGTTTGCAATACATACAGTTTACAGTCATCTTGGAGAGTGAGTACAGTTATATACTACAGCTTGTCTTACCTCCTTCCCTTTATCCCCCTCCTCTGATTCCCCTATTTATTTCATCTCTTTTTTGATTAATTTTATTGGTACATTTTAGTTATACAGTATAATGACATTCATCATTTGAAATTTGTACCTTTACGTAATCTATATTGATTCTTATTTTTTCCCCATTCCCCTCCCCTCCCTTCAACCCCTCCACTGCTATTTACAGACTTGGTTTCCATTTTTTCATTTACTCATATTAATTCCAGTCCCTTCTTTCTTTCCCCTTTTAACAGCACGTAGCTACTGAACTCATCAATGGTTAAACCCACTGATGAGTATAGCACCTTCATAAGCAGATTTAATGTTTCTGTTTTAGTACTTAGATCTTTGATCCATTTTGATTTCAGTTTAGTGCCTGGTGAGACATACGGGTCTAGTTTTAGTCTTCAGCATGCAGAAAGCCAGTTTTTCCAGCACCCCTTATAAAAGATGCTATCCTCTTCCAATGAACATGTTTGGATATAAGAAAATGGAAAAATATCCCCTGCTCCTGGGTAGGAAGAATCAACATAGTAATGAAAATGGCCATACTACCAAAACTGCTGTACAGATTCAGTGCAATGCCAATTGAAATTCCAACACTATATTTTACAGAACTAGAAAGAAGAATCCATAAGAGGTCATTTCTAATAAGTGTGTGGTCACTTTATTGCCATCTGCCACGTCAGCCACTTTGCCTTATGTCCCTGCCTATCTGCTCTGTTAAGGTCCCTACAATTTTCAGGGTAATTACATCTTGTTTCTTATTTTTTTAAAGCCCTTTCATCTTTGTTCCCATTCCCTCCTCCTGTTCTGGTTCTGCATCCCCTTTTTCGCACTTACAGATATTATTTGCCTTAGCTCATGTTACGGAATACAGTTTTTGCATTTGATTAGGGTTATTAGGTTCCTGCACATGGCATATCTTTTCTTATTCCTCTTGCTCTCCTTCTCATCCCTCAACCTTGTTCCATTTGACTACTTCCCTATTGCAGTAGATCCATACCTGTGTCCTTTTCTATCCACCCTTAGTCATTTTCCTTGTTTGTACATTGCATCACTCAAGTGAGAGATACCATGTAATATTTAAACTCATGCATCTAGTTTATTTTGATCAACATTATCTTTTCCAGGTGCATCTGTTTTCCCACAAATGCCTCAAACTTGTCATACTTTATAGCTGAGTACTATTCCATTACACATAGATACCACATTTTCTTTATCCAGTCATCTCCTGATAGATATGCAGACTGCTTCCAGGATTTTGCTATTATGAATTGTGCTGCTATAAACCTTGGCATGCATGTATCACTGTAGTATGATGGCCTAAACTCTTTAGGCAAGATACCTAGCAGGAAGGTAGCTGGGTCAAATTTCAGTTCTTTGAGAAATCTCCATACTGATTATTATTTCAAATTGAAATCCAAAGGTCAAGGCCACTGTAGATTTCATATTTTTGTGCAGAGAAGGTCCCAGGCTTGTTGCCAGAAGACAGAAATTCTTTATCTCAGTCATTGTGTGTAAGATCTCTTGCTTATGATTACTAGCTTTTGGAATTTTGAGGACAAGAAATCATAGCTCCTCCTTTTAAGAAGGATATTCTTTGCATTGAGGACCAGTTAACACTGATCATTGTTACATCATTCTTTACTTTTCTTAATTTAATTGTAGCTGTCATATTTCTGCACTGCTGTATTTTAGGTTCCATAGATTGCCTAAATAGATGTTGATTATATAGACCTGTAACAAATCTGTTAGAAATGAAAGCATTTCACACACGTAATGAATCTGTAGTTAGATATAATAATCAGATAGGACTTTGGATAGTTCCCTTCTTGTAAGGTGAATTGAAGAGCTTTATGGGCATGAGCATTTTTGAGATAGATAGATAATGTTGGCAGAAGAGTGTGTATAAAGAATAGCCAAGTAAATAGACTATAGTAAACTGCGGTTTCCTTAATTTTTGATCTCATATAGTCTAAACCATTCTTTGTCCCATCCCCTTGCTTTATAGTTTTACTTATGTGCAAGCCTACTCAAAATAGTTCAGTAGAAAACGGCTTGAGATTTGCTCTAAAAAATCCTGGAAAAATGGAAGTATGCCAGTAGTTGTAAGGAAGCATGTAGGCCTACTTTTTCCTAGCAGCCTTCTTCTGACCATGAGAGAGGACTCTGACATGAATAAAGATAAAACTGGTGAGTTGGGGAAAAAAGAGTTCCTATCATTTGAGGGGCTAAGTTCAGAGTCTGCATGTGATAAGCTGCATAAAGCTCCCCCAGAGACATCCTAATCTCCAGAACCTGTGAATGTGTTTGTTACCTTACATGACAGAACTTTTCCTAATGTGTTTGAGGTTGCAGGCCTTGAGATATGTGAGTATTTTATAAGTGGGTCTGGTTTCATCACATGAACATCCAGTCACAGTGACACATATCTGAAATCTCAGCACTGAGGGAGGAGGCTAAGGCAAGAGATCACAAATTTGAGCCCAACCTGGGTAACTTAGCAAGCCTCTGTCTCAAAATAAAAAATGCTGATGCCGGGGATTTAGCTCAGTGGTTCAGTGGCCTGCTTTGCAAGTGCAAGGACCCCATTTCAATCCCCGGTACCTAAATAAATAAATAAATAAATAAAAAGTGTGAGTATGTAGCCTAGTCCAAAGGCCCTGGGTTCAACTCCCAGCATCTTAATGGCTGAATAAATGAATAATGTTTTAAAATGGAAGAAGATAGAAAAGTAGGTCAGCATGGAGAGGAAGGAAAAAAAAGAGATTTTTGTTTTTGCTTTATGAGGCAAGGTCTCTATATAGTCCAGGTGGGTCTTGAACTTGGTATGTAACCCAGCTGGTCTCAAACTGGTGATCTTCCTGCCAATTTGAGGCAGAGAAAGGGGATTTGAGAGGAGCTTAGCCTGCCTTTTTGCTGGCTTTAAAGGTGAGTTGGAAATTATAAGTCAAAGAATACAGACTTGAAAGGGCCCTCGGCTACTAACTTGCAAGGGAACAGGGATTTAGTACTATAACTACCATTATTTGAATTCTTTCACCAAAGAGAAAGATCCTCCCCTAGAACACAGAAAGACACACAGTCCAAACAATACCTTGATTTTAGACCAGTGAAGTCCTTTTGAACCTACTAGTATAAAATAGTAAAGTTAAATCTTTTAGGGGAAGGGGATTTAGCTCAGTGGTTCTGCCACATGCCTCACAAGCACAAGGTCCCAAGTTTGATCCCCAGTACAAAAAAAAATCTTTTAATCCACTGTTTTTGTTAATTTGTTACAGCAATAATA